ATATAGATGACCCTCAAAGAGAGCAAGGTCTATAGAAGCTATGTGGTCACTGTATAGGTGAAGGCCACAATAGGAAGTATTATCCACATTTCCCAAGATATCGAGCATACCGATAAATCCTTTGTAACCGTATTTGTACCGATTTTACAAATATCAATGATAATTTTTCAGTTTTTTTATGTTTCATATATAATTGCAAACTATAAAGCTTACCTAAAGTCAAATTATTAAATTTATTTAAAATATTTTTTCAACAAAATAAACATATTTTCCTCTCAATTTTTACATTATTTTTCTTATTCGCATTCTTTTTGATGAGTTGTTTGTTGCGTCAGCTTGTTAACTCTTCAGTCTTTTTTGCCTTCTCCTTCTTATTCTTCTCCTTCTCCCTATTCAACTCCTTATGTTGATCAAGAATAGACTTTATTGATTCTTTCACTTACTTTTCATCTGAAGATGAGCTTAAATATGAATCACCTTAAGAGTAATCATACCAAAGATGATCTTCAGAAAAATGTTTGAAATATTCTTCCCACAAGTGCATTTTTTGCTTCTCCTAAAACTCTATAAACTAACACAACTCCTATTTATAGTTAAAATTTAAGAAAATGAACATTAAAACTCGTCACCTTGAGGTGACGAGTTCCAACGATTCTTTTTCAAATCTAAGACAGCTATAAAAATTTAAATATGTGGAACTCATCACCTCGAGGTGACGTTCCACGTTTTTTTTTTAAAATTCACTTAATAATCTTGAAAAATTAATATTTCTTTAATGGGACTCGTCTCCTCGAGGTGACGAGTTCCAAAGGAAATATTAAAATATTGGGCACAGAATAAAAAAATTATATCATGTGGAGTTCTCACACATTGTAGAAAATTTCATAGATCCCAAAATAATTTCTTGGTTGTCCTATTGGGCTAAATTATTATTTTGGTTGCGATAATGGGCCAAAAAACCTCGGTTAGCTACTTGGATCCATTACCCAATAAACAACATTCTTTTTGGTAAAAATTGAAAACCCAAAAAATTAACACCCTCGACTATAGGGTGATACTTTATTGAGTCTCTCAACTATTAAAAGTTACAAATTGATCATCTAATATTATGGCGTTGCTTCGTTGAGTCCATCGATTATTAAAAGTTATAAAATGGTCACCCTCATCATTTTTCATTAAAAATTTGACAACAATCTGAGTTGCATGTTAACCTATTAACATAGATATGATAAAATATGATAAAAAAATCTCAAAAGAATATCATATCTCAGTCAACAAATTAATATTCAGCTCAGATTGTTATTGTTTTTATAACAGACAATGACAAGTTTAGAACACACTAAATAGTCGAGTGATCAATTTATAATTTTTAATACTCATGGGACTTAACAAAGCAACACCCTATAGTTAGGGGACCATTTTATAACTTTTAATAGTCAAGGGACCCATCAAAACATCACCCTATAGTCGAGGGACTATTTGTGTACTTTACCTTAAATTGTATATATTTAAATATCATTAGTTAATATATAAATATATATATATATATATTGAAATTGAATTATAACATTGAAGTAAATTCTACTTTGATGTTTAGAGTTGTAAAAAAGATGAGTCAAGTTCGAGTATTATTGAGTTTGACTCGATTCGAAAAGTTTAAAGTTGAGTTTGACTAAAACATTTGCAAGCTCGAATTGAACTCAAAATTATTAACTGAAACTCAACTTGAGCTCAAAAATTTTTTTTACTCGAAACATTCTCAAACTTAGCATTATTAAAGCTTGAACTAAAGCTTGATTCATATTCGAACTTGAACATGAACTTTAAGTACATAAAAATCTTACACTACATTTTAAAGAACAACAACATATAAATGTTAATATTATTAATAAGATAATTTTAAAAAATTAAAAAATAATATATTGTTTTTTAGTTGCTTGTGAACTTTTCAAGTCGATTATCAAGTAACTCGCTTAGTCTCCCTAAGAATTTGAGTCGAGTTTAAAATTAAATTAAGTTCATTCAAATTAAATGTTAATAGAACTTTTACCGAATCAAACTTGAGTAATTGAGTTACTTTATATCATTTACATCGCTAGAGAAAGTCCATCCATTAATCTCATTTGGCTTTCTACTAATTAACCAGGCTTTCTACTAATTAACCAAAAACAACAAAAGTCTAAAAATAGGATAATCTAATTTTAGGCTAACAAAGGGTAGAAATTGAGCACAATTGAAAATATTATAGAAAAGCATAAAATTTTAGGTTGAACACAACATAGAATATTACATTCTTTATAACATTTTCTATCACACCCCAAAATACGGGTTAGGAGTTTCGGGTTTATTCAAATAGACCTTAGAATAAATTTTCCTTATATTATAAAGCTTTGGACCCAAATGATTTTGATTTGAGCTTTACATGAGCCCAAAAGGGGTTAAAAGGGGTGTCTTTGAATATGAACCAAATAGGAGGGACTAGGAGAGTAATTTGACCAATTTTTGAAACAAAGCTAAATTCCCATTAATTGGGATGATATCATCATTTGTTTCATCTCTTTTTCCTCACCATTGCTTTGTCTTCTTTATCTCTTCTTGCCACATTATTTTCTCTCCAAGAAATCAACAAAGGTCCAATCTTTAAGAATCCTAAGTTTCCTTTGAGAATTCTAAGGTAAGAGCATCATCTTACACCTCCTAAGCTTCAAATTGAGCTCTTATTTGCAAGGTTTGGACGAGTTAACAAAAAAACATGTTTCAGTAAGGTTTATTAAATCCTAAGTTCTAGTTCGTTTTATGGGATTTAAGTTGTATTAAAACATTTCTAGTTTCTTTCTAAGGTTTAAAATGAGTTAGCAACTCATTAAATTTGTTTTGATTAGTGCATAGCAATGGGAGAGCTTAAAGGCTAGAAACAAGGAGAAGCTAGTCATTGGATGATTTGAGGACGTTTTTCTATCACCTAGCTTCAAGGTAACACGATTTTAACTTGTCCATACCACATGTAGGTCATTGTATATGCATATATGGTTTGTTTTGTTAATGAAAACATGCTAGAGTAATATATGGTAGATTTCGTATTTGAAGTTGATAAGTATGAAAGATGACACCTTTTGACCTCTAAGACATCAAATAAGAATTTAAAAACGTTCACTAGTCTTATGGGAGTGAATTAGTGAGTTTTGGGTGTGAATTCGTGCTCAAAACATAGCACTTCTATTATTCGGATCGGGTGAAAAGCCAAAATAATGATATTTTGTAAGGGAACTATCGATACTCTCTAGTGGAGTATCGATACTAGGGGTCCAATATCGATACTCAGACTCAGAGGGTTAATATCGACACTGAGGCATTTTTGATACCAAGGTATTTTTCAAAACATCGAATACCCAAGGGTCAATATCGATACTATTGGCCCAGTATCGGTACCATTGTTGATTTTTGGGCAATTTAGTTTGTTTGGTTCGGGTTTTCGAGCTTGGGTGATTTGAGTTCATATATGCTACAAGTATTCATTGCAAGTGAAAACAATTAAGATTTCTAACTTCTCACCTAGAAATCAAGCAAATTAGGATGACATAAAATTACCTTTTGTGTGATGCTTGGGAAACGGCTAGGACACCTGAGTTACTCTAGCATTATGATGATTGTCCTTTGTTTGTGAATATATGGATATTGTTTGTTGGTACGCATCTGATGCACGTACATTATGGGTCATACCGATACGAATCTCAATGCACGTAAATTCTGTAATCGTATTTTATGCTCGACTAGGTTCAAAATGTGAACTTTCGATGCACGTAAATTTCAGTCCTCACCCTGATCTCTCGAGTATCCAAGATAGACTAAGGGCTATAAGTTCTGATGCACGTAAATTTTGGTTCTTACCCCGAAGCTATCATGTTCTATATAGGCTAGTATGTTGTCCGAGATGCACATAAATTCCTCCGACCACACTACTTAGCCTATCTCATATTTGTTATGTGTTTTTGCATGTTTACGACTTTGCACATCAGTATATTCATGAAATGAATGCATGTAGTATCACATAGTTATTTTTGTGGCACTGAGCTTGTGAGCTTAGCGTATGGAATGTGTTTTTGTGCGCATGTCAGTAGGAATCGTTGAGGAGCCTATTAGTGACAGTACATTCCAGACCAAACAATTTGTAGAGTTTGTCTTGAGTATATTTAGAGGGTATGTATTCTATATGGACCTCGTATTATTCTAGTCATAACTCTATTTCTATTTTGATTTAACATTATGGTCGTATATACATGTATTTGGGTGTTTATAAATGTTTTTGAAAAAAAATTAGGGTTGTCCATTTCGGTGGTTCCGTGTGGCATCGTAATCTATAGATCTTCGGGTTGGACTAGATTAGGGTGTTATATTTTCCGTTGCAACTTAAAATATTACTCCCCTGTCCTATTAAATGTGTATTTTACTAATTTTTTAATCAAATTTTTAAATTTTAACTCATTGGTATTTAAATTTTATTATTGATAAAAATATAAAAAGATATATTTAAAAACCTTCAATCAAATAATTTTAAATATATATTTTATAAAATTTCATTATTTTAAATATTTAAAATAAACATAGTTAAAGTTTAAATTTTTTTTAATTTTAAAATATTAAAGAACAAATTTAGAAAACGGAAGGAGTAATATTTTTAATTATTTTCATAATATTTTAGATTATAAAAAAACTATTAGAAAGAATATAACATTTTAAATTATACTCAACCTAAAATATTATAGTTTTTATAACATTTTCTATAGCATTCAAATTTTATCATTTTTTAAACTTTTTAGGTTGTACCGCTTTACAACCAAAACCAAATAAAAAACTTGCAAAGATGAGTCGAGACCCACCGAAGCACTTGCTTTTTTTTCCGGCAATTGAACTTGTTCCTTCACACGCCAATATGAAAAAGAAGACAGCTTTATGTTACATGGTTCATAAACACATGGGAGTTAAAAGGAAAGTTTCAATCTCGATCAATGGTCTTTCTTAAGATGGGTAGCTGAATTTTGATTTAATGTACTTGGAATTTTGGAACAGTAAAAATGCTACCTTTTGGAATCCCACCGCCATTGTATTTGTTAGAATCATGTAAAACCATCAAACAAGCATTTCAAGTTTATGCTCAAATAATCCTCAATGGCTTCCAACACCATGTCTTCCCCATCAGCCGATTCATCTCTTTCTTTGCCTTACTGGGTTCCGAAGATGGTACTAAGTACTCTCAGATTCTCTTCTTACAAATTCAACACCCAAATCAGTTCGTGTATAACACCATGATAAGGGGATTTTCCCATAGTAAATTCCCTGAAAAAGCACTTGGCTTCTACTCCTCCATGCTTCACCAAGTAAACATATCTCCTAACAACTTCACTTACCCATTTTTACTCAACTCGTGTGCAAGACTATCGACCCATAAACCAGGAGTTCAAGTTCATGGGCATGTCATAAAATTTGGGTTTGAATTGGATCCTTTTGTCGGGAATGCTTTGATGCATTTTTATTTGGTTTTCAGACGTTTAAATGATGCCCAGATTATGTTTGAAGAAAGTCCTGTTACAGACCTTGTTTCTTATAATACTATGATAAATGGGTACGGCTTGGCGGGCGAACCTGGGCGTGCTCTGAATCTATTTAGAAAAATGCAAGATTCGGGTGTTCTGCCTGATGAGTTCACTTTTGTTGCCCTGTTGTCTGCTTTTTCATCGTTGAATGATCATAGGATAGGAAAAGAGATTCATGGTTTTGTTTATAGGAACCTTCGTTGTGTTGAATCTAACGTGTTGCTTAAGACTGCTATTCTTCATTCTTATGCGAAATCTGGGTTGATGGATTTGGCTGAGAGGGTGTTCAGCTCAATGCCAAGTAACAAAAGTACTGCAGCTTGGAGTTCCATGGTATCGGGGTACGCTCGACGAGGAGAAACCGAGGCTGCTAGGAGAATGTTTGATCAGATGGACCAACCGCAACGGGATCTAATCGGTTGGACGGCTATGATTAGTGGATATTCGCAGTCGGGACAGTGCAGTGAAGCATTGGAGCTTTTTAAGCAGATGGAAGATTTGGGAATACGACCCGATGAATGTACTATGGCTGCTGTTCTTTCAGCTTGTGCTAGACTTGGAGCTCTTAGTTTAGGCGAGAGGCTTCGTAGTAGGTACATTGAGGGTGAGTTATGCAGACAAAACATTATTGTTTCAACTGCGTTAATCGATATGTATTCGAAATGCGGAAAGATGGATTCTGCTCTGCACATGTTTCACAGCATTCCAAAGGGTTTATGGACTGTTTCACTTTTCAATTCGATGATCTCCGGTCTAGCTCAGCACGGGCTTGGTGAGTCCGCTTTGGCTGTTTTTTGGGATATGGAATCGATAGGGCTGGAACCAGATAGTGTTACCTTTGTGGCAGTTTTATCTGCTTGCAGTCACAGTGGCCTAGTCAAAGAAGGCAAAGAGTTATTTAGATCGATGTTGGATGTGTATGGTATTAAACCACAAAAGGAACATTATGGTTGCATGGTTGACCTCCTTGGCCGAGATGGTTGCTTGGATGAAGCTTATGATTTAATTCAAAGTATGCCATTTGAGGCCAACTCGGTAATCTGGAGAGCTTTATTGAGTGCTTGTAAACTCCATCGAAATGTTAAGATCGGTGAAGTTGCTTGCCAAAAACTTATTGAACTAGAGCCTGATCACGGAGCTCATTATGTTTTGTTGTCCAACATGCTTGCCAATACAAACAGATGGGAACAAGCTGAGAGAATAAGAAAGGTGATGGAAGATAGAGGCATCCAAAAGCCTCCCGGGTGGAGCTATATCGAGTTTCGGGGAACTATTCGTCGGTTTTTGGCTAGCGACAAGTCTCACTTGCAAGACAAAGGGATTGAATCCATGCTCCAAGATATGGCAATGCGTCTTAGATCTGCAGGGTATGTTCCCAATACAGTGCAAGTAATGTTTGATATAGATGAAGAAGAGAAGGAAACTGTTGTGTCTTATCACAGTGAGAAATTGGCATTGGCGTTCTGGTTAGTCAGCTCCGGCGCCGGAGAAACTATAAGAATAATGAAGAATCTTCGAGTCTGCGGAGATTGTCACTCGGTGTTTAAGCTTCTATCCGAAATTTACAGTCGAGAGATTATAGTCAGGGATGCCATCAGGTTCCACCATTTTAAGAATGGATCTTGCTCTTGTAAGGACTTTTGGTGATCATAAATTGCGGAAATCGAGGCAGCACTTTCCGGCAGATGTTTGTATGAAGATAATCACAAATACAATGAACTTAATCATAATAATTTCATCTGTTTTGCAGCTGTTTTAGCAGAACGACATATTCAATGTACAAATACAATGAACTTGATCCTAATCAATCAACTTTTCCATGCCCAGCAGGCAAAAAACTACAGGCTTTAGGAGGAAAAGGAAAATCCATTTGCTTGCTCCTATAGGATTGTAGGTAGGAATATACTGAGGGATTGTTGAGATGCGATCGAACCTTAGAGAAATTTTAAATTTTTATATAATTTAGATTTTATTTTTGTATTTTTTTTATCAATGATCTAAGGTCATATCCCTGAAATTTTGTAATTTAATATTCTTAAATTTTATTTAATTTTCTCATTATGCACTCATTGACATAAAATTCGAGGGCTTGTTTGTAAAAGTCAATGGGGGTGTTTGGTAAACAATTGATAGTTGATTTCAGTTTGACTAACTGATTTAATTAGTTGATTTGATAAACCGATTTGATTAACTGTTTATATAGAAGTGTTAGGTAAAATACAGATGATAGCTGATAATTGATATGAGTAAAATGACAAATAAAGGTATTATACATTTAGTTGTTAAATACATATAATTTTTATAATACTTTGATCTTTATTGGGGTGAAATTATTCGGATAAAATGTTTTTGACAATGAATTAAAAATTCCTTAAGAAAATTAGTGAATATTTTTAAAAATTTTGAAAATATTTTTTAAATTTAATATTTGCAAATATTAACCTTGTGAGATGATACACACGGTTAACCTTGTATAAAATATCAACATTACATTTTTTTCTGCTTTCATGTTTTGCTATTTTTTCTTAACTAAAATATATTTCAGAACCTACAACTAAAAAATAGACTAATAAAATAAAATTTCACTAAAATATATTAGGATGGAGGCTATTTCATTAGATTAGGTTTTATGACAATGATGTAATTATGAAAATAATAAGGTTAAATATGTCATTTAACATTTTATTTTATAATAAGCTCTTCAAAACCGTTAGATTTTACGATGTTTTCATTTTCAGTTTATTTTTGCACAATAAACTATTTCAAGAAGGTATTTAACGAACATTAAAAATAGATGATTTGACTACGAATAAGCTATTTATACTTAAATAAACTAAAAGCTCTTTGAAAAGTCGTTTACCAAACACCCTAATATCAAATTAAAATGATTGATGAACTCTGAATTTTCATTGAAGTTTCTTCCGTGGTGGCCATCGGTCAAGAAACATAGCTTTTACAAACCTGAATTAAGCGTTTGAATTTTCATGAAAACAAAAATCAAATTACTCTTTTGGCTCTATAATTGTTTTCATTTAATTTTCACATTAACATATTTTTATTTTTATAATGTTAATATATTCTCATTTTTTTTGCCCTCTCAATTTTTCAAAACTTTACCCTCACTAAAATTCGACATCTACTTAAGCTATCTCATTTCTATTATAATTTTAAAATATAACAGTTGATGAGAAATATTTAATCTTATGAGTTGTTAGTTTCTCTTTGTTACCCTTTTAGTTTGGACGGATAATCATAATCAGTGAAATAATGATTATTGGCCAATGTTATTATGTGAAAGAAAGGAGAATAAAGATAGCTCGGAGAGATGATTGTTTTCTGTTAGAGTGAGAAGATAGAAAATAAAAAAGATCCCCTCTTTCAGCTTTTCATCGGATATAAAATATTTCAGCTATATAATGACTAGTGTTGAACAAATTTGACTCTAATAAATCACATAAGACTATCAAAGATTTAATCACCAAGTTGTAACCATTCAAAAAGTATAAAATTCCGGTTGAATTATGGATAGAAATACTATTTTCAGAGGATATCTTCAAAAGTATAACACTTATCATTCATTAGTCGAAAGAATACCATAAAATAACTTGATTCAAGATTTATAGTAAAAAATATAACGATTATCCCTCAGTTTATTCAATACAAAAATATCATCACTTAAAAATTTAAATTAATTTTTAAATCACAATATTTCTTATTTACAAGCAAATTAAAATTAAAATATATTAAAAATATATATTTTATAAATACTTCATATATGTGTTCCATGTGTACAATGCATATTTAAAACTATTTAATATTCTTATTTTATTAAAAATATTTTGTATTAATTATAAATCTATCATATCTATAGGGAAGCCGTACAACTTTATTTAATATTTTTATTATTGCACGAACCAAAGTGGCCTCCATGGTAAAGGAATTATTGTTATTCTTTCAAGACTTAGGTTCGAGCACCATAGATGCAAGGGGTGTGAGCGATCAATGTAGAAAGGTTGAGAGTTATTTTTGAACAAATACCACCATATAACTACCTAGATTATTCAAAAAAATATTATTGATTAAAAATTAATTTTAATTAATAAAGAAAAATAAGTTGGTTAACACGTCATGGTGACATTATCACTTTCCAACATTAATAAGGAAGCATATTTGTGTCACCATCATCCTCCTAATAACTTTTAGATATTCATTTCGAGTACGGATGTAAAATCGGATAATCGTTTAGGTTTCAGTCGGATCTTATCAAGTTGGGTAAAATCGGATACATGTCAAGTCAGGTAAATTTGATGCTTCGACTCGGATCAGATCCGGTCATTTTCAGGTTGATTTGACACCATGTACAGTTCGGGTTCAGGTCGGGTTACTTTCAGTTTGGATCGATGTCAGTTCAGGTCAAAATAATTTAGGTTCGAAGCAGATAAAGACCAAAATAATTTATGTTCAGATGGACTTCAGGTGGATCTCGTCCAGATCAGGTGACATCATTAGCAGATAAAATTCAGGTCGGATCTTTATCAGATACAGATTGAGTTCAAATCGGGTCAATTTTTATTTTTGGATTAATTAGTTTCGTCTTTTGCGAACGTTGAATTGCAATTTATAATTGTATATGATTTAGAGTAAATTAATAAGAATATAAAAAATCATGGATCAATTTTATGAAAAACATAAAATTAAGGACTAAATTGAACAAATATGAAATTAAAAGTAAAAATTTAAATAAATTAAACAGAACGCATTGATGAGGGACCAAATCAAAATAAAACGTGAATTGCAATTTATAATGTATATGATTAGGTAAATAATAAGAATATAAAAAATCATGGACTTTTATGAAAAATAAATTAAGGACTAAATTGAACAAATATGAAATTAAAAGTAAAAATTTAAATAAATTAAACAGAACGCATTGATGAGGGACCAAATCAAAATAAATTTTAAATTGTGAGGTTGAAATTAATATAAAAAGTACTAAATTATACTCATTTAAAAAGTTATGGGCAAATTAAAAAATATAAATAAGTAATAAGTAGGGGTCAATTTCATATGCAAATACAATTTTAAGGACTAAATTGAATAATTATGAAATTATAAATAAAAATTTAAATAAATTAAACAATACAAAGGGATCAAATCAAAATAATTGTAAAATATGAAGAAAAATCTGTAAAATAGACTAAATTGCATTCATTTCAAAAGTTGAGAAAAAATTGAAATAATTATAATATATATATATATATATATTTATTTATTTATTTATTATACTATATATGAGATGTATATATTATGTATAAACTATATATAAACTATATAGTGTATATATAAAGTATATAAGTTATATATAAACTATATAGTGTATGTATAAACTATATATATATATTATATATAAACTATAGAGTTTATATTTATATTATTATATATTATATATAAACTATATATATATATATATATATATTATGTATAAACTATATATACCATGTATAAACTATAGAGTTTATATATGAACTATTGAACTATATATAAACTATATAGTTTATTAATATAAATTTTATATATATATATATATATATGAATTATATTTAAATATATACAACTTATATTTATATATTACGTATAATTATAAATTATATATACTATGTATAAATTATAAAGTTTATATAGTTTAAATATAAAGTATATAAGTGTATATGTTGAACTATATTTTGATATAACAATTAAGGCAAAATGTTTTTGGGCTTGAATTGAAATTAGTCAAAGCTTTCAAAGTTTTCAAAAATAATTCAAAGTCCATTTAAAAGCTTGGAATTGAACACAAAATATTTTTCTGGTCAAGTAGTACCGATACTGTTCTTACAGTATAGATACCTAATGAACAATACCGATATTGTTCATATGGTGCAGATACCAAAGGTAAGGGAAGTATCGATACTCACTAGGTAGTATAGATACTACCAGCATTGCTCAAATTTCATAATGCAAAAATCGTACTAATACCCAAATGGGTACCGATACTACTCTACATAATAGTATCGATATCATAGGCATAGTATCGATACCATAGGCATAGTATCGATACCATTAGGCCCCAACGGCTAGTAACGTCTAGTTGATTTAAATATAACAAATGTAATATCAATACTTCCTTTAGGAGTATCGATACCCTTTGTTCTGGGCAGCTTTATTTTGCACGAAAATTGATTCCCAAAAGCTCCAAAACACTCCCAACGGCTAGAAACGGCCACAACATCATTCCAACATATAAATTCAAGTTGATGACACTTGAAGAAGGGTTAGAAATTCAAGAAATTAAACACAAAAGAAGAGTCTTTCATCCTTATTTTCATTTCTCTTGTAAATATTGTGTTAGTGTGAACTTAATTCTTTGTAAACACCTACCTTTAAGAGGTTTATTTGTTTACTTCTTTTTACCTTTTGTAAAAGGGGTTTGGTTCTATCTTAGTCAATTGAAAAGAGAGGGAGTTGTAAAGGTTACTTTTGATCCTTTAAAAAGAAAGAACAAATTAGTGGATTTGTTAGAAAATCCTAAGTGAGAGCTTAGGTAATGGATGTAGAATTGGTTGAGAAGTCGAACCACTATAAATCTTTGTGTTCATTGTATTATATTTTACCCTCCTTACTCCCTAATCAAATTATTGTCAAATTCACCCCCTTATAACTCTTTTGGTTGTTATTTTGAGCCTCTTCAAATCCTAACAATTTATATCAGAGCTTGACTCATTAGAAGGTTTAACCACCTTGAGACAATCCTTGAAGAAGCTTTACCAATTCCCAATGCAACCTAC